TTCCAGAAACAAATAAGTACAAGAAAAATTAAGAATATACTCACCACTTTCGTGGGTACTTTGAACAGATAAGATATTACGAAAATAAAATCACCAGACAAATAAAACACTATTTAAGATTGGAAGACAAGAGTTAGCAGAGTGTCCCCCGTGGCTGAAAGCCGGACTCATATATGTTCGGTTTGTGAAGTTTCCAGAAATAATCCCTACTTAACATTTCAATTTGACATTTAAATTATCAACGAGGTCAACACTAATAAAATCAAAAGTAACTCGCTTCCTACCATAACAAAACACTTTTAACACCTATACAATGTGTCATGATAAATTAATAAAATGACTTATCTACAAAACAAACGCCATCTAGTGGTCCGACGGCGAACGAAGAACAACAATACTATAGCTACAAACTACTTTGGATAAATCAACCAAAATGCGACACGGGCAATAGGTGTCGCTGTTAACAAGTCCGTACGCAATACAAATATACTAAAAAAATAACTGTTACAATGTATATATATATGTATGTAACTCAGAAAGTATATATGTATGTATGTGTATTTCAGTATGTATGTATATCCGTCAGACTGGTTCTGTTCATATCCTCAATTATTATTATCTCGTTACATATAAAACTTAATTTCTATTGCACCTTCTCAGACATTTCCCCACCACCCAAAGGTAGACTGGGAGAAAATGCCTGTGGCATTAAGTCCGCCATTGTACACTGAATTGTTATTTGAGCAAAAATAATTACGTGAAAAATAAATTAAATATTTGTTCCTTTCCATATTTTCCATCATACGGTTTCTGCATAGTGCAGGAAGTTTCGTCTGGTTTCCGTATTACTAATAAGCAGGTGTGCCTCTTCTTTCACCAGCTGTACCCCAAGACGTTGCTCAGCTTAATCTCGTTGAGCCCCGAATACGGGGCAGTCAAAGATAATGTGCAGGACGTCTTCGTCCTACGCTGGGTCGCAAATAGATGACGGACACTTGAAGCGATGCAAGTATTGGGAGAACCCCCATGTCCCGTTAGTATCTGCGTAACAACGCCTTGGGGTCGGATCTTCGACACCAGGCAGCACGCCATCCCTCGCGTCTGGGAAGAACGCATAGTCGTAATTTTTCTCAATCAATAATTGGAAAGTATTAATTAAAGGGTGACGGCAAAAATTTTTTTCACATTCCTTCAGAAAGCATATTATGTAATTAATGTATAAAAATGCGGTATCATTTCTAAAGTGGCATATTAAAGATGGCATCTGAGAAGAGATTTATATTAAATTAGATATGATGAGGGTCTTTTGAAGTGAGGTCAAGTTCGCATAATAAAGCCACATAATTGATAGGTCATAATAACAACGAGAGTAATGTGAGTGTTAAAATGTAATTTGCTACCAATGGAGTTTCCTAAATATTTAATCCATACTATTATCATAAAAAAGCGAATGCGTGTCTCTCTATTACCTCTTCATGCTTAAATCGCTGCACCGGGAAAGGACAAAGGTTTTTTTAACAGAAATCATCCTCTAAGGAGGTGAAAAGTTGGGTGAAAGTTTGTATAGGGAATCAATAACCGCTGAACCGATTTAAATGAAATTTGGTATGGAGATAGTTTGATTCTTAAGAAAGAACATAGGCTACTTTTTACCGCAATAACCGACATTGTCGTTGGCGGAGCCGCGGGTAAAAGCTAGTTACATATTTTTCTCAAAATATACACACATATTGTGTTCGTATTTAACTTCAAGAAAAGAAGGTGGTATTTCTATATTGAACTCTCCGTCATTCATAAACCGATTCTTAATTTTTCATTAATTTTAATAATAATAATAACATTTTCGATCCACCTGCTGTTTGATCATCTTTGTAATTAATGTTGATCTGAGTGTTCATCGATAATAATAATAAATTATAAATATTTTGGACAAATGACACACAACGCCATCTAGTTTCAAACTAAGCAGAGCTTGTACTATGAAAGCTAGGTTGACTGACAGAATACTTATTTACAATTTTTTTTGTAGATACATACATATTATACATAGAAAATCCCAGACTCCAAACCAGACTTTTAGACAGATGTTTTGTAGATCATGTAAATATTTGATCCTTCACAGGAATCGAGACTTCAGCACGTCAGTCGCATTTTACTTGAAAGAGTACACTTCAAGTTTGATACCGTTTTTTTTCTGAAAAATTTAGGGTTCCAGCCTTAATTTTAATTAAGAAATTAAGAATCCAGTTTGTTAGAATTCATCATGATAATGATAATAAGTCATAGATTGGCGTATTGAAATTGGTTATACTCTTTTAAAAGTAATTTTTATTATGGATTTGGACATCTATACAAATAAATAAAATTAGAGTGTCTGTTTGTAATATTAAAATAACCTCTTTTTACTAAATGCATATGTATGTTTACCATTATTACCATATCCTATCCGTACCGTATCCTACTGCGCCGAGTGTTGTGGGTTCAAACCCCACATGGGACGACACTTTGTGTGATCCACAAATTGTTGTTCTAAGTCTGGGTGTTCTTTGTGTCCGTTTCATGTATGTTTGTAAAGTCCCCCGCGACACAGGAATGTATTCCTAATGCGGGAGTTGTCTTTTTAAAAAGAAAAAAAGAAAAAGAATATGCCAAAATAACATTTTTTACCATTTTTGTCTTTCTGTTTGTTCCGGGTAATCTCTCGAACGGCTGGACCGATTTCAACGCGACTTTCACTGGCAGATAGCTCATCAGCTATCTGCCAGTGAAAGTCGCGTTATGTCATCACATAAGGAGTAACTTAGACTACTTTTTTTAGATTAGGTTCGCCCCGCGGCGTTGCCCGCGGTTATAACAACAAACGAGGGTAACACCGCGGGTCTCAGCTAGTTTTAAATAAAAATAATCTTGTCCATATTCGTGGGAGATCCATGCTTTAGCAAAAGGCGATAACGCATGATGACTCTTAGTTGCGTCCTTGGGCGGCGGTTGTCACTTCAGGTGTTTTCTCCTAACACATCATCACATACAACAGCGTTTAATAGTCCAATGCTGGACATAGCCCTCTCCTTAGAAATGAGGTTTTGGCCTACTAAATTACGGTGGCAAAACCGGTTGGTATAGGGTAGGGCTCCCTTGGTGGACGGGATGGGTTCTCCCCTCCACCCGCATTTGTTTGGCCAGCCGCGAGGAGGCGGCGTCCGCGTGTGCCGGACGTCGCCTAAAGAGAGGTTAAAATTTTGAGACGGAGCCCGCACCAGAAGCGGGCTGGCGCTGGGAGGGGTCCAGAAGGCGATAACTACCTGGACCCCCCCTAAACTAGAAGCGCAAAGAGGGCACACCGTGTGGTTTTAGTCGGTTCGAGTCTGACACACCGCCCCGCCGAACAGAGAACCCCGGCGGGGTGACGGTCCGAGGGGATTTCCACACATTAAACAAAAAAAAGGATAGGGCTCCCTTAGTCAACTTTTACGACATAAATAGGGATGGTGACACTCTGTATTCTTAATCCGTCACCACAAGACGACACCACACATATTTCCTCTATCCATAAAAAAATATCCAGCCGAGCCGACCCTGAGGTATAGCGTGTATAGTCAACAAGCAAAATATGTTTTAAGCGTGTATTAGCTAGCGCTTTAATTACCTATTACAATACGTAGGTAAAAAAATTATAAATTTTTGTGACTGATAAGTACACTGGCAGTAGCAAACATTTACTTAATGTTAAAGTAGCAGGGCAAAATTATTATTTTTTATTAATTTTTAAAGACAGCTCCCGCACTAGAAATAAATCCTGTGTCGCGGGGGACTTTACAAACATACATGAAACGGACACAAAGTACACCCAGACTCAGAATAATAATTTGTGGATCACACAAAGTGTTGGTCCATGTAGGGTTTGAACAACACTCGGCGTAATAGGAAGCGGCTTCGCAACCGCTTTAACCACTACGCCATCCCTGCAGTCAAATAAAGGCTCCTTGATTAAATTTAAAATTTAATTCAATGATCGAAATTTGTATTTCAATGTACTCATTGGTTAAATCGAATAGCGCGCCCATGAGCGCGTGTTTGCCGGGCTTCTTGTAACACTTGTTCTTCTGTTAATGCTTTCAAAATCAAACCACAAATGCCAGGAAAGAGAGAGTAAAAATTTCACATTTCAAACATTGCACATTTCTGCTAATTCCAGATGCTAGTGATTTCTATTTACAGTGGCAAAGGCAGCTTCTTTATTGAAAATCTAGTTTCAAATCTAAACTTTCAAAAAATTAAAGTATATAATAAAAAATCGCAAGCATTTACTTTAAAGGATTTTTTACTGTTGCTAATTAAGAATCAATATAATATATGTGAGGAAGAAGAATGACCGACATTGCTTTATGTTGTAAGGTTGGTAATAGGTACATAAATGTCAAGCAAATCTTAATCCGAGCTTAAAAAGTAAAAAAAACAAAATACTAAAACAGATCAACGAATTGAATCAATTTCAATCTATGTGGCGAGCAATGGGAGAGGCCTATGTCCAGCAGTGGACTGCGATAGGCTGATGATGATGATGATGATCAACGAATTTTGATAAACGCAACGGAGGGACTAATCAAATTTACAATTTTAAAATCCTCATCCACCGTTATAAGTTAAAATTCTTGTAATTATGTTGTTAGGCGGAAATAATAAATAAGTAATTAGATTTTAGTACCCCGATTAGTAAATCATTTATAGTTAGTGTAAAATTCGATTAGTTTAAAGTGTTAATAATGTACCTATAAATATCTTTTACTTTTTAGAACATTTAAAACTAAAAAGATTTTAGTATGTTTCTCTTTCATTTTACATCATCAACTAAAATGAGATGTACATCACTACTGTCACGCAAAATGGAATGTCATTGACCGACTTATCACACGTAGGGTGTCTAATTGGATTATGGTTATTATTAAAAGTCGGGTTTTACACTAATTTTGTTAACTGAAAATACATAATTAGTTGCCAACATGTGGATAGACGAAGCAGATGGCTTCGCCGAGATTTTTAGGGGCTACTTACCCTATTATTTGCTTGTGGCTCTGCCTATTTTTATCATAATGTCGCCTGTGAACCCGGTAGCTGCTTCTCACGAGTTTTCTGTATACAGGATGCAACAATATGATTTACACACAGTTCCCCATGGTGAGTACTTTAATTAACAAAATGTCTAAGTTATAAAATTGAAAAATCGATTGACATTTTGAGGTTATTTTTAGTAAGTTCTTTTTTAGATTGAAGGCTAATTTCTGTAAACAATTTGCTGATTTGACTTAACTACATTAGATTAAATTGTCCATAGTTCAACGCAACATAAAACCTCCAAACTTATGTCTATTGTAAGATTTGAAATTGTTTTAAAAATGTTTGATCTCTCAAGGCCTTTGATCTCTCAATATTAATAATATGTATATACTTCAATGACAATCATATTCTTAAATGTAAAATACAGTTAGTGACTGATAGTAACGTTGTTAATAGCCTACTTTTCTATTATTATCATTTTGTTAAATAATACTGTAAACACAACCAAAAAGCTTGTACAAATATGCATAGTTTTAAGATAAGATAAGATATATTGTCATCAACAAAACAACTTTTTGTACATATTACTTTTTGCTATACTTTTAATACTTTATAATTATAACTTTACTGTAAAATATACATCTATACAAATAAACAAAATTGAAGTGTCTGTTTGTAATTGTCAAAATAATGGGTTATTTTCATACTCACACAGTTATTTCACACAATATCTATGCCTGAAAACCAGTTTAAATATTTTTTGTCGGTTCAGGGTTCAGAGTAATCTTTAAAACAACTAGACCAATTTTGATAATATTTTACAACCAGGTGGCCGTCTAAGGAGTATTTCTTTTCTCAGAAAAAAACCTATAAAATTTTGCCTGGCCCGGACATTGAACCCACTAAAGTAGCGCTATTTAAATTCAAAGAAAGAAAAAAGGAGTTGGCACCAGCTAGTGGATAATAAAACTTATTAGCATTTATAATTAATTCTCAGATTTAATATTTTTTTACACTAGATTATTTGTTTTATTTATCCTCATCAGAACCAGCTAAACAGTCATAAATGGTAAGCTGTAATATGATTACTATCATATGACTGTTTATTAACTTAATTAATTACTTTTATTAACCTTAGTTAATTATTCTTCAGGTTGCCGCAGTGCTAGCTTCAACTTAGAAGGTCGTTCACTCACTTCATGGAGCACTTCCCGTCACTGTGTGGTTGCTAGAGTTCAAGATATCACCATTGACCAATTTATGGAGATCAGAGCTAAAGCAGGTGCATTGTTGCTGGTGTTACCCAAAAATGACACTGTTTTGACTCCAGAGGAAAAAGAGGTGATACATTCTAAAGCTCATTTAATCATTTGAACATTAATATGTTATTTTAACCTATTTTGACTACAAAATGGCTTTTGCCACTTTTTTTTATGGTATAAGGGAGCAAACGATCAGACGGGTCACCTGATGGTAAGCTGCTACCGCCGCCCATGGACACCTGTAACACAAAAGTCACAAGTGCGTTGCTGCCCTTGGAGTTGAGGTTACCGGAGCCCAAATCTGATTTGAACCTCACTCATTCAGTGAAAGGCAACAAAAGAGTTGCTTAACCCCGGTTATCTGTGAGACCTTATCACTCCGGTCGAGCTGGCCTATTCATTCTCTTGTTGCATTATTCTAGTATAAAATGATTATATGTAAAATTAAGACAAGTATTAGATGCCTTTGAATTACCCGTCACTACCTGTTCTACCTAGATTGTTGTAGTCTAAGTAGAGTTTTAATTATAATATATTCAATTAAAATTTATTGTAATGTATGGTCGGTCTAACCATACAATAAATAATTTCGTTGTGCAATTATTTGCCGTACCGCGCGTGAAACTATGGTTAGTTCGCAATCGCGACCGCTTAAACCACTACGCCATTCGTGCAGCCCTGGTAGAAATTCCACCTTTGCCTCATTTGGGGAGAGATTAAATAAATAAATATCATAATGCATTATAAGATGTTACATATTTTAGTTTCATGCTTGTCTCCATCACGATTGTGCCACCAGTATTGTTATTATTAGTTTAGAATCCTAAGTAAAAGAATAATTCTAGGTAAAAAAATAAAAATAGCCTTAGTTACTCCTTTTAACACAAGCTGTCTGATAGAGAATGTCCCATGTAAATGGATCCACCGGTTCTAGGGAAAAAAGTACAAACAGACAGAGATACAAAAATTATGCACAAACATCATAAAAATTCTGCCTGAAAATAATAATTACTTTTTTTAGACTTCCTAAGAAGGAATAAAAACAGATTTTAACAGTTACAGAAAAAAACTTTTTTTTTATTTACAGCATATCCAACTTCTGGAGATGGCAATGATCCAGCAGGAAGTGAATGCCCCAGTGTACTTCGCTCGCTGGTCTCCAGACTTCGAGGATATTATCCGAGATCTGCAGCACAGTTTTATCACTGATGATAAATCTGGCACTGCTTTGGAAGCAATGATGAATACTGTATCTTCTAATGGCTACCAAATTGGTAGGTTGTTATATTTATTAACATCTCCTCTAAATTTACTTAGAAGTCTTCTGACTTCTAAGTAAATTTAGAGATATTTTAAAATAAACTTTGAAATTACTTAACTTATTAAAAAAAATAGCAATAGAAAATAGCATTGCTACTTTATCCAGATATATACATTTACACACCTATCCACTATGTTTGTTTACAAAATGTGTAGATACTTATAGATTAGATACCAATATTCCGCTTGATTGTCTCAAATACTTCAGCCTATTGCTCTCCAAGCTGAACGAAGGTCTCCCCCAAGAAGCGCCAACCATCCCGGTCTAGGGCAGTCCGCATCCATCTGCTGCCAACCATTTTCTTCAAGTCATCGGGCCATCACGCCGCAGTGTACACTACCTTTGTCCAAACGCAGTATCCACTCTAACACATGGCGGCTCCAGCCACCATCAGTCCATCTGCAAACATGAAGAGCCTACTTCCATTTCAGTACTACTGATTCTCTGTGTTATGTCGGTTACTCCAGTTGTCTGTCGAATCGTTTGATTTCAAATTTTGGAGACTATTAGCATATGTTTTTTTAAATTTAGTTGTTTTACAGAAAGTACCAAAACAATTCTTAGGTTTGTCCAATGTTTTATCAAGCTTACATACTCGATAAGAATATTTGAACTACCTACTTATGCGTTATTTATACATATCAACTACCTAGATTGTAGACCACAAAGTTGATTACAATAGTCACGTATGAGTCTAGAGATTTTAAATTTTATGTCTCATATGCCTGTTGGTTTAGTTAGATTCTGAATGCTAAACCTAGGTTCGAATTCCCACCCATGACAAATAATCATGTCATTTTTCTCGTGTCTGGGCGTAATTTGTCTATAACCAGCTGATCCAAGCAGTGTACATTTTTTTAAAGTACACCCAGACTCAGAACAACAACTTGTGGATCACACAAAATGTCGTCCCATGTGGGGTTTGAACCCACAACACTCAGTCGGCAGTAGAAAGCAGCGTTGCGACCGCTTAAACCACTACGCTATCCGTGCACTCACTGATAGAATACTATTATACTTTTTTTTATAAACACATAAATATTATACATAGAAAACACCGAAGCATCGAACCAAATATTTGCAGACCATACAAACATTTGGTCCGATCCGAATCGAACCCGAGACCTCAGCACAGCATTTGCATACACTACTACTGCACCACAAAGACAGTCTTAAATAATCCTAACTCATCGCAGGCGAATATTACATATTTTGAAGAAAAGAAGTAGCCCATGGGTTAATCAGGCCCAGGGTCAGCGACCTCCAAATTTTATCGAAATTGGTCCAGTAGGGTCGCACGAGCAGATAGATCACCTGATGATTGAACGTGCAATGACGACACTGAAGAGAATTTGGTCTTATCTGAGCTGATACTTAATTCAACCTTTTAATGTTAATACTATCTCTATTAAACAGTGGTGTCAGCATCAACACCGCAGAAGCTAGAATCGAAACCCGTTACCCTTCACGGCAAGCTGGTCGGACGCTCAGGGTCCTCGCAGACCATCGTCATTGCTGCTCATTATGACTCCTCTGCTGTAGTGCCTGTAAGTTCATTTTTTAAACATTATTCAACAGACACAATTGCACTTTTTTGTATAGGAGAAAGCGTCGCTTTTTCTTTCAGTGAGATGACGGATTTGGTTTTCTGTACTGGTACTCATATATATTCTGGGATATCGCTCGAAATATTAAAGTCGATATGTATAGAATAATACACAATTTATGACCAGTGTGTGCAAGATTGATCGGTGGACTAAACACACGTCGCGTAGTAGTATGAAATCCCTGATTAGGCAAACTTATAATAATTATCTCAGTGAAAATACGGCTTTACGTTAACTACAGCACAGTCTTATTTTATCTGAACACCACCTACAACGTACAAAACTTTCACTGCCCCACCAGCTATTTTGACGTCATTGTATATCGATAAAATATTAAGTAATATAGAAAATGGATGACTGTGCTATCCAAATAATAATGTAAGTATTATTATTGTGTAATACATCAACAGTATCAATGAAGCCACGTGATAAGAATCATTTAAGATGAACGCAATCCTCTTACTAATTTAAACAAATACATTTAAGTTATAACCTTTTTCTCAGGAATTATCGCAAGGTGCCGATTCAAATGCCTCCGGTGCCATTGCAATTCTAGAACTAGCCCGAATCTTCTCCCGTTTGTACTCCACGGCAGCCGTCCGCGGCGGACCTTCGATTTTGTTTGTATTAACCTCTATTGGACACTCACTTAACTACTTCTCAGCAAAGAAGTGGTTAGAGGAACAGCTGGATTCCACCGATGCTGCGTTATTACAGGTAAGAATTTTGTCACTGTTTTGTGGAATGCAATAGGAACTTAATGTGATAATAGTACTTGCGCATACAGTAGTGAACACTTCTTAAACATACGCCTCTCCCTTTCTCTCTATTTTACATCTTTTGTCTCACTCACTACTACTTATAAAGAAATTAGTCACTTACAATGAAATGTACCTAAAATTTATCCATTCTGTATATTTCGCTATCAATTCCCGTGAATTTCTCGTTCAAAACTTAACAGGGTTTTTTTAAATATGTTGTTTTCTTCCCAGGATGTCTCCTTCGTAATGTGCCTGGACTCCATATCTTCATCTCCATCCATGACTATGCACGTGTCCAAGCCTCCAAAGCCTGGTGGCGCGGCGCACTCTATCAAGACCAGACTTGGTGTATCCATAAATCATAAAAAGATCAATTTAGCTGAGGACCTGTTGGCATGGCAGCATGAGAGGTTCAGCATCAGGCGGATGACAGCGTTCACGCTTAGCTCACTGCAGGTAATTTTTACCATGAAGTTTCTTAACACGGCTTGCTTGGTAGAAATCGTCACGTAAGAGAAAAACTCCTCCATACAAATGTTTCTATCTATTTATATAGAAATCGAGTGTGTTATTATACATTATGACCCTTTTTTTTTTTTCGTGCGGAAATCCCCTCGGATACCACATATCGGTTGCACGTCGGACTCGAACCGACTAAAACCGCACGCCGTCTCGGGTACTAATAGCCGGGGAACCAGGTATACCCTAGAAAGGAAGTCCCTGGTGCCCCGACATACCTCGGGTCATCTACAACAACAGGTAGACGACCCCCCGTGTGGGAACCCCATGTTCCCTCTGCTCCCTGAAAGCGAGCGCGCTCGCCGCCACCCCGGCCTGCTTCTGCTAGGGTGACAGATGGCCTCACCTGTCACCCCCAGGCCTGCGCTTATGGAGGACGGAGGTCGTTTTGCAACCTCCGGCGCCTGAGTCGCCTGCGGTACCTGGCCCGTTCCCGAGCCTGGCGGGCCGGGAGAGTCCTAAAGCTCTCCCGGTCCCGCTCTGCCGTCTCCTTCGCGAGCATGACTTGCTCGCAAAAGGAGACGGCAGAGTTCCACGCACTCTCGCTCCGCACGATAGCTGCAATCAGGCTATCGAGCGAGAGAACTCCAACTCCGGATACATTATGACCCTAACTCCTAGTTGGACCACTGAGGTGGTGGTGGTGAGACACTTACGCCTATACCCTTGAGAGAGAAGGCAGAGGCATACGCTCGCATTTGGCCAACTATAACTTTAATCCCACTGACAGAATAGAGGGATGATAATAACCTTGTCCCGTACAAGGTTATTATCATCCATCTATTATTTGTAAGTTATTTGTATTTGCTGTCAACCGGACATTTCAAGGATTACATGGAAATATAGGAGGATATAAAAAGTGAAGGTGAAGGTAGGCAAAGGATATTGCGACGACGGAATGGCGTAGTGGTTCGTGTAACGGACTGCTATTCTAATCGATTCCCGCTCAAGTCAAACATTTGTGTGCATGAACATTTAATGTTTGTTTTGATCTTGGTTTTTCTAATAAGTATGTATTTACAAAAGTATATATGTATTTATATCAGTTGTCTAGTAGCCATAGTACAAGCTTTGCTTAGTTTGGGTTTAGATGGCGTTGTGTGAATGTGGTAAAATATTATTATTATTGCTTATTTATGTAAATTGTGATATGCAAGGAATAGCTGGAGTTTGTCAGGTTCGCATACCTTAATCAGGAATTGACTATGGCAGTATATTTCGAGCCGTCTCATCAAAATTCTCATTTTTTTTGTAATCATCATCATCATCGCAACCGCAAGAGGTTCACTGTTGGACATAGGCATCCCTCAGGTTCGCCACAACAACCTGTCCTCTGCTGTCCGCATCCAACGGCTTTGTTGGTCGTTGTCGACAGACAGAGCCGACTTCCACACCCTTGCACCGTACAGTGCCATTAAGGACCCATGGGGTAAACCACAACGGGGCCCATGAAATAAGAGGGCCTCCGTTTTATCCAGGGCCACCCGTAAGCCCAATGCCTCAATGCGCCCGACCACCAAAAACACCCCTGGTGGGTTGTAACCAAAGTTACGCCCCCCCTCCGACGTCGAGCTTCGTCGAAGGGTCCATTCGTATCCTATGTTCAACAGGAGGCGCCCAAGGCCACAGCCCTGTGGAACATTGCACGCATGTCGTGCAGTGTTCCACACTGCACGCATGTCTTGGGCCGACATTGGCCTTTTAAAACAACCCATCTGTAAACCAACCCGTCTGGAAAGTGTAGTATAGCAGGCAAAACCTCCTTTCTAAGAAGAGGCATAGGCCGGACGGAGGTCGTAGAACGACCTCCGTCCTCCATAAGCGCAGGCCTGGGGGTGACAGGTGAGGCCATCTGTCACCCTAGCAGAAGCAGGCCGGGGTGGCGGCGAGCGTGTTGCGAAGCGCGCTCGCTTCCAGGGAGCAGAGGGAACATAGGGTTCCCACACGGGGGGGTCGTCTACCTGTTGTAGATGGCCCGAGGTATGTCGGGGCACCAGGGACTTCCTTTCTAGGGTATACCTGGTTCCCCGGCTATTAGTACCCGAGACGGCGTGCGGTTTTAGTCGGTTTGAGTCCGACATGCCACCGATAGGTGGTATCCGAGAGGATTTCCGCACGGAAAAAAAAAGGCTGTTGATGATGGTGATGAATACCATAAACTATATAACCTATAACAATTAAAAGGCCCCCTTGATAGAATTTGCTACAGGCCCCGCACGGGCTTACTCCGGCACTGCATATTTTACTTGAAATTGTATAAAAACCATGTAAGAAAATAAAAATAATTTAATTCTTTCTAGAGTCACAAGGACCCGTCTCGGTACACTGTGCTAGACACACCTTCGGAATCGAACCTGAAAAATTTAATATCCAACATCGCAGTTACAGCGCGAGCGCTTGCCTCCCACGTCTACAATATAACTGATGAGGGCAGTGATGAAGATGCTGCGCTATACAATGATGCACTGGTAAGTAACTCTCAGTTTTAGGGTTCTTCTTTTTAGATTAAGGGTCCCTATTTGTCGATGAAGCTAAACTACATATAGTTTAAAAAAAAAACATTATTGTATTTAAAATAATGGGGAAAATGCTTTTTTTAATGTCATTGCGTTTTCTGTGATACTACAGTTTTTTAAACGACATGCTATATGTTTTTTAATTTAAAGTTATAGTGGTTTTTAAGTAGGTGAAAAAATGGGGGCGTAAGTTTGGGAACCCCTGACCTATGCTTAATTCGATACGACTCTCGAAATGAAACTGCATGTAGTTTGGATGATAACTATAGTTTGGCATATTGGAGCTGATCGAATTATGGAGTTAACAGCTGGATACTTAGAGCTCTTTAGTTTAGTTAATTAATAGGAATGCCTATTTCTTTAATTACTTTGTTAAATGAACATTATGCTGTGTTCCAGGCTGTAGACGAGGCGTCAATAAGACATTGGTACAAATATTTAACGTCACAGTCGCGGGCACCACAATTAATTACAACAACATCATCTAGTCAAGGTAAATTTCATAAGTATATATAATGGTTAAAATAATTCTAAATAATATAGTCCTTTTAACGTCTCAGATTCTGAGAGAAAATAGTTAAACTTCACTCATTTACCAATCAGTTATTAGGAAGTGTATTAGAAAGAAATGTCTGTCCAATTTTTGAATTGGATATTTTTAAGTAATTTATGTATTTATGGCGATCGGAAAAAGCTCTTTCACTGTAACTGGAACCTGCCTCCGAACGGTTTAACATTTTGAGAAGAAATGGAAATAAAGGCTATAAAAAGTCACAACCTTTAATCTTAAACTAAAAAATAATAATAATAAAAATAATAAACTTTATTGCGAACACAAGATTCATAAGGGTACATACAAAATGGCAACAACAAAAACCACAAACCAAAAATAATCAGACACAAAAAAAGTAGAAAGAATTATTCTGCCGTTTTGATCCAGTGCTTGTATAGTTTAATCCTGAATGTATTTATGTATGAAGGTAATTCAGGTTTTCATTGGTATATTGACGTGTTACCGTCATTATATTTATAAATTAATATGTTCCCTAATAAATTTAAATACTATCAACGATTTTGAATTGATTTTTACACTAATAATTTCTCTAATGGTGTATTGATATAAACATATTTTTACATAGTATAAAATGAAGTTGAATTTATTTTCTTCTTGTACGCTTAGATCTTTCGAACTACGCAACGGATTTTAATGTGGTTTTCACCATTACAAAGAGTGGTTCAAAAGGCGGGTCTTTATGTGTTATAATATGCATATTATAGTAGAGAAAATCTAAGAATTTCAAAGATTTGTAATGTGAAGTAGTACATTACAAACGCTGGCTAAACCATAAGAGATAGATCAAAATAAGATACTACGGAATTGAATATCTAGCTTAAAAAATCTAACAATAAACCATATAACCATTTTTATCTTTTACATATTATACATTCCTTATCCAAAAAGATACGTGGTGCATTTCACGTAGATTAAAATCGTCATTTACAGTATATCATTAAAATGAAAATCTTAGTAGATATCGGAGATTTAAAATGCTTGGGCAAAGCGGCCGTCGCTGCGTTGAGCCGTAAGTCCGGGGAGTGGAGCGGGCCTAGATAATGCATATAAAGATGTCCTGTACTCACACAACATTAGTAGTATCTACATTATAACGCGCGAAGCCGGCGCGGATCGCTTGTGTATAATAATATAAGTTGTTAGAATATGTAATAGAAAGATATTGTTGGTCGGTTCGTAACGAGTAGTCCGTGTGCAGGCGTGACGGGCGCGCTGGAGCGTGCGCTGTCGCGCTACATGGACGTGTCGGTGAGCGCGCACGCAGTGGACAAGCGGGAGCCCGAGTACACGCTCTACGGACCCACTGCCGCCTCCTTGTTCGTCTACAGGTTCGTATTGACATAGCCCAATTGAGATACCCCGCTACTATACCACTCTACTGATATATAATCAATTCATAACAATGTGATTTTAGGGATAGAAGGGTAAGCAAAAACTTTACACCGTACTGCTGTATAAAATACCACCTTTAGCATTACTTTGTGATTAGAACCTCCTTTTAAGCAAACAATGCCTGTGTGTGTGTATCCATGAGTGTGTGTGTATGCATGAGTGTGTGTGCATGCGTGTGTATGTTTGTGTGTATGTTGGGTGTGTGCGTAAAGTTAGTTAATGTCTTGGATGTTTCAATAACTTCATTGGCTTTAACCAAGCTGTTACAGTTTTCTTACATCCGTTCCAATGTTTATTATATATGTATGTTTCTTTGTTTATTATATTACATAATTTGGTAACGCGTTTAGCACATCCTATATTGAAATGAAATATACTTATTTTTTCTTTTTTTTACAGTGTAAAGCCGGCAGTCTTCGACTTAATATTAACACTAGCGATTATCGCTTACCTAACAGTGGTATATTTCGCTATACAATTGTTCCCGCGTTTCTACGAAGAGTACGCCAAACTTGTCACGGGCAAAGCCAAAGTACATTAGTATAAGTATCTGTGGTGTGGTCGACACATATATCAGTATAGGAATATTGCTCTCCTACTCACGCGCATAGCTTTTGCAAAGTGCGAATGAGAGGTCCGATAGAGTTCATTTTAAGGTGAGCTATTTCTATTAATGCTGTAGTTTCTCACTATAGGGCTCGGTCAAAATATTAATAATTATTAAATTATTATTATTATTTGTTTATTTTTTCTTTTCCGCAAAGACAACTCCCGCATTAGGAATATATCCTGTGTCGCGGGGAACTTTACAATCATACATGAAACGGACACAAAGAACACCCAGACTCAGTACAACAATTTGTGGATAAGTTTTACTAACCTTTTTCAAACCTTACTAAGGATTGTTATCCCAACAGAACCACACAAACACTAATTCAAAAGCACAATAAAAAATGATTTTCCAAAATACGGCAAATAACTTATAAACTCACTACTCTCACTCAGTGTTGCCAACAGAGTCGTGGAGAACTGTCTTTCGGTTATTAACGTAAACAAATGCAATGCTAATGTTTTAGCGGGAAAGTTTAAAAGTGACGTTATTTTTGCGTGTTTGTGTATAAGATATAAAAAAGATGTTCCCATTTTTTTTTCATCAACATCCCTATTGTTTAATGTTTTTACCGAGCCCTGTATTCAATATTGATATTTGTGTATAAAGTAGAATCTTCTATTGAAGTTGTTCTAATGAAATATGCAGCACAGAGTATAGCAGAAAATAAAATATTTAATATCTCAAGTGTTGAAAGACAATTTGCATTTAAAGGAAACATGTTAAATATATATTGTATCGTCGTAGCAATAATTAATATATCATAGTTCGTATGGAAAGTACATATTATGGTGACTTCTGAAGTCGTTAAATTAATGTTGTTTCTAATATTCTAATAAAAGAAAACAATAAAAAATAAGAAAACCCGCCAAAAATCTTAACAAATGATGGTGGAACAAATCATATATCTCAGGCCTGCTTCTGCTGGAGTCTCTCTGTCTCTACTTGTCACCGATCAAACCAAGAATTTAGCGTAGCAGTAATGATAATTTATTATTGACATGCAAAGTTTAAAACATCTAAAGCCGAGTCAAGTCAAAAAATTAATGATCACAAAAACATGTCTAAAATAAAATTTGATACAAATATAATTTATACTTAAATATAACAAAACTAATATATATCAATGCATTTTTCATTAGAACACAATATAGTGTTTTAGTATACTAAGACTGTTGTCTAGTTCTACGACAGAGTTTTACCTCCCCTTTTAGGTAAGTCACAGATAGTTAAAACGTAACGAAGTAATAAGACAATCAATATGTTCAACATAGGTTTTTTTGGGTTTATGAATGATGTTTTCTAGTTAAAGGAAAACCATACATAGATTTGTTTCGACATCCTCATAATAAAAAACATACTTCAACGCCATCTAACAAAGGTACACCGAACTATGGTGTTACTACTAATCCTGAAACGCGCAATGAAAGTTCTCACACAGATTAGTGTATTTACAACTTCTCAATTTAAGTCTTTCTGCACGAACTGTACAAGTAGTTTCTAGTATATTGTCTTATTACAGCATTTGCGCTTTGCTTTTTACACTTATTGGCAAACCAGCCAGCTCCATAACGGTAAATTTTTAATGGTGTACAAATTTCAGTTCTTTTTGTTACTTTACATCTTTCATAAAGCGATTTGTTTTTTTTTATTGTAAAAAGTTTAGTTGGTTGGTTTTGCCATCTATACTTAATATTATAAAGCTGAAGAGTTTGTTTGTTTGTTTGTTTGTTTGTTTGTTTGAACGCGCTAATCTCAGGAACTACTGGTCCGATTTGAAAAATTATTTCAGTGTTAGATAGCCCATTTATCGAGGAAGGCTATAGGCTATATATCATCACGCTAAGACCAATAGGAGCGGAGCACCAATGAAGAATATTTCAAAAACGGAGAAAATTTATTACTATTGAGAGACGCAGACGAAGTTGCGCGGGTCAGCTAGTTTAATATAAACAAAAACAATGCTCACTGAAGCTAACTTACGCTTACCACGATACAATATGGCACATACATTAAGACCATTTTATACAGTAAAATAGTCGTGTCCTATCGTATCCAACATCGTTACCACAAAGTCACACCACATAAGTCAATCTTAGTGAATAAGTGTTGAACAACTTGATTTACATACTTAATTTGTAAGTCTTCACGAAATAATATAATTTATCACGAATGTTTTCATAATTTATTAAAAAAAATTGTTACACAATAGATGAACAGAATTATTGTCAATAGACAAACCTAACTACGGTCCGTAGTTTAAATTTTGGTGGCTTTTAAAATCCTGCTCAAAGTAAATTATTTCGTAAATTAAACATAATATCTTAAAATACTAAAAAAAATGTGGTGGCGCTTGTATTTTAAAGTTTTGAATTTATTTTATTATTGCCAAATTATATTAAGTGATTATTTTGACAACTTTGTAAAGTATAACGTCACACGTTATTAAAATTATGTATGTTTTGACGTTTATGAAAAAATCTGCTTTGGCTTGTCAAGCAACTTAACAACCAGCTATGAAACAGGCAAATTAATTTTGTTTTTAGCTTACAATATCTGTATAATTTTACACTGACAATACATTCTGTTTCATTTGTGAATTACGCCTACAAATAACTAAGAAATATATCGTGAATAGAATAAGACAAAAGCAATATTTCCATATTTATAAAATTAAGAATTAATGTTGGTGAAGCTTTGTTTACACGGGACAATATAAACACAAAATACGGTAAACACTACGACTTTAATGTTATCATTTATGTTGTACATAATTTAAAAAAAAAAACTGTCCTCATGAATTGAAGGATGACATTTTATATTTAATGACAGCTGTCATTTGATACTGCATTTTTTTACGATGTTTGTGCAAATATTTGCAACATACGACTAAATAATATCGATCTATGTCGACGTTTTAACTTTAATTTAATAAATTTAAAAAAAAGTACCATCATATGGTATGGAAATCATTTATATTTTCTTAAGTTACCTTTTTTAAGATTTCAAACATTCATAATAGCTATCCCCTTTTTACTCATGTTGTCATTTGAAGTTTTATTTAAATGTAGTGTATTTAGTGTAAACTGTCCCTATTGTCCTGTGTGTACCTAGCCGAATAATGTGTAATTATATCGTCACCTTAAGTATTATTCAAATTCTTATACATTATAGTGTCTTATTTTCCAAATTATTCATTTGTATGTATTTGAAAATTATATTACGAGGATAAAAATTCTTGCAACTGCAAAATTTTCTTTGGTTATTATAAAGCCGAGAAATTCATAGCTTGGCGAAAATATCTATACCATACTTTGTCATAAACCTTTAATTTTTTGCTGAAGGCAATACCTCCTGCCTTCATCATGTTTAACTTTAATACCGCATGTAATGGGTAATGGGTGTTTATGAGACTCGAGAGTTCTGAGGACGTCTAAAAAGTGTGTTTTGAAAGGTAGACGACATGTTGAGAAGCCCAGAGCATTGCAATGTTGATTTTATTACGTATATAATAAGTACTTTTCTCAATTACATTGAGTGCGGTCTCTTGACAATGTATAAATCACAAGCAGAACCGCGGTATAATACTATTTATTCGATAAGAAAAATCGACTTACTTGCGCTGTGCTAGATTCAATACCTGCTTCTCAGTATACGCTTACAATTCTGTTACATTTCGTTGTTATTTTTTTTTTATTGTGGTTTTTTTTCCTCATTAAAGCAAACATCCATGTTATCTTAATAAAGTAAGTTTAAGTTTGTCTGAAAAATATCCTTTCGCAAAAGCATAAATCTTGTCGGCGTTAGGAGCAAATTTAACTTTTAAACAATATATTTAAATGCTCGTAGATATTTCTGCCAAGAATTAAAGCATTATGTTGACCGTCCATAAAGCGTCGAGTTCCTTAAAAAGTAAAGAGTTTGTGGTACATAAACTGTTTTCCATTGTAATGTTTTTTTTTTCTGTAAGACTCGGTGTCCACTTGCACTGAATTTAAATTGATCTCCTATTCGTAAACAACGAACTTTTTCTCTCTTATTAGTAAAAAAATATTTATTTTTTTAAAATGTCTATGTCAGTCACTTAAATATTTTATTTATAATTCTCGCTTTTTCTTGCGTAAATCACACATTAATATTACAATTGAAAATAAAATTAAAAATCGATAACAGTACCTATACATAAAATTATAAATAAATATGGGTTTGACTATAGCGACTATGAGTGCGTCCTTGAAGTCCTCCATAAAATGTTAGTCGATTATTAATTACGATTTTTAGTGTATATGAGTGGTCACCGAGTCGCGCGAATATTATGATAAAATGTAGTGTTTTATTATGTATGGAACTGTTGTGTTTACCTATTAGTTTTATTAATTAGGTTAAGGTAATATCTTATGGTTTTGGGTGCATCAGATGACTACACGGGAAGATAAACATCTTAGGCATGTTTGTGTTATTAATACTCTCTCCACAGATAATTTAAAATAAAATGGCTAAGGCGCTTTAAAAAAAATATAATTTAGATGAATTTAGAAAAAAAACTTCTAGATGACTCTATGGCTTTTTGTTGACATTACAGTTACTTGTGCTAAGACCATAGTTTCTTCTTAGCACTATAACTGGTTACCATTGCTTTTCTACTTATAATTCTTAAATAGTGGCATTTAGCCTTACATTCTTCTCAGTGTGAAAAAAAGCGGTCAATATTATATGAAGTTTTTTCTCTATGTCCTTGTTTTATTAGTATTGGATAGTTCCGAACAAAACGAGCTGTTTGTGATTGTAAGCGAAAATGGTGGACGCTGTATGGAATTGAATAAATTTTGTTTTTAAAGTGTTGTCTTTTTACTTACATTAGAAATTAGTGTGTTCTACAAATAGTTGTAGTGGGTCTTTCCGTTTAGACACGGACACGGAATCGTTGCTTCTGCGGAATTTGTATTTGTAAGGTTCTCAATTTGGTGAGAACCTTACAAATACAAAGTACAAAAAATATTTTTCGATAAAAAATAAACCGCCTTAAAAAAACACTCAGGATCTGGAACCCTATTAACAGTAAACCCCATGATGAACGAGCATGAGCAGAAATGCACCGAATGAGAAATTTATTTTATAAATCAATTCTGGCTAAAGCTTGACACCGGAAGAGGACCTCCCCCATTTTTTGAAGTAGGTTAATAATTTATTTCATTTTTACATTTTTAGTGAAAAGTAGATGTATTTTGTTTATATGTAATATAAGTAGGCCACCTAAACGCTCTGCTTCAATGAGACAGAGAGGTATTGGAGTAAACGAAAATGTCATCGATGTATACAATTGTCAGATTTTTGTTGATTATTCCAAAAACCGCTAGATCGATTTTGATAAACTTTAAATGGGACAAGACCTGGCAAGTGTATCCTTTGAATCGGTCTATGCGATTTCGAGTAAACGGTGAAAATACGAAAAAAAGAAGATGCCGATGAATTGAGAACCTCCTCCTTTTTTTTAAATCGGTGAAAAAGGATACCTGTACCCACATAGAAAGAATGTAGGTAATGCGTTACAGCAATACCTTTTCAATAATACCAGCTTACCAGTTAAGATTGTTGTTTTATGGTATAAAAGGGCATGGTAAGTGACTACCGCCGCCTACAGTCACCTGCAAGTCAAGTCACAAGTACGTTGTCGACCTTAGGGTTGAGGGCGGTTTTGCTCCGGTACCCTCACTGAAAAGCAATGAAAGATTTGCTTAACACCGGTTTTCTGTGAGGCCGTGGTCACTTCGGTGGAGCCGCCCCACAAGTGCCATAGCATGGTTCTTTCGTGGTTTTACGTAGTTACACTGCACAACGACGCAGTATGTCGTTTCACTGATGAAACCCCATCGGCCCAAAAGTAGTAGGTCATCGCTGAAATACACACGGGAGTAAAAATATACACGTGAGTAAGAAAATAAATAATATCAGATTATTAGTCAAGTACGAGAGAAAATGCCAGTGATAATATAACTTCTTATTTATTAAAATATAAATTGTTACAAACAATAATGTTATTGTAAGTCTTAATTCTACATTTTTATATTTAATAATAAAATATATTTCGTATTATATTATGTAAAAATAAAATATATTATCAATACAGCTACCTTCAAAAATGCTTTAACCAGATATGGCACACGTGATTATAACAAAATAAAAATATATACTCACAAAAAAACAGGGTTAATAACACATAATTATTATGCGTAGTAATAATAATGGATTCATAAAATGAATATTTAACTTACAGTTTAATCTTATCATTATAACATTTACAATATTAAAACAAATACGACGAATAGAGAGAGACAGGCAATGCTTACTAAGCGACAAGCGTTTGTCTCGCTTACTAAGCATTACATTCCAAGCGTCCAAATATTTTGTCTGGTTTTAATACAATAACTGACTATTCTATGATTTACGTATAGTGGTAAATACTTTCTTAATTATACAACATTATAACATTGACTACAAAAAAGTGATTTACTCCGTTGTAATAAAGTCGCTTATCCCTCGAAGACTTCTACGCTAGCTGCACCGTTTATGTCCTTCAGTTCAACTGACTTGAATGTCGCTACGAAGTTGATTTTTCCCTCTTTCTGTGTTTGGAAAATAAATTCAGTTAATAGGACAAATATTCTTTGATGGTATAGGGGCAACCATGGCAAGTGATCACCACTGCTCATGGACCCCTGCAACTCAAGTCCCTATTAGTGTCCGATGTCCATAATCACTGCGAATACTGATGTATTCACTGTGTTACGTCAGTTATATATTTAACTTGGGTAATCAGATAAGGAGAACGTTCAATCAACTTACATTAGGTTGTATCGGGAGTTCGGCTTTGATCAGTTCCAATGGTCCAGCTTCAGGCACAGGCAGCTTGAGTGTACGGCCCGCAATACCAGACGACGTCACACGGAACTCGCATCCCGTCAGAGTACGCTCCAGAGGGTTTGTGAAAGACAGCACTGCTACTGCTGGCTGGCCTAGTATTAGGTCTTCGTTGAACTGGAAGAAAAAAAAAATTTTTTGGTACACTTCTCTTTAAAAAAACCTAAGTAGACACTTCTTAAGGGATAGCAACCTTAGAAGTATCACGACGCTAAATGCTAGCCTTCATTGTAGAAACTTCAACAAGTTTCTACACCTGCAGGGCAAGGAAACTAAGATAGTCCTTGAGCACCTTCGTGTGCGAGTGCCTGTGTAAGAGTACATAGTTCAAATTAAAAAAAAAAACTCCATCTTTGAATACCCATCATCAGCATAGTACGCAATTTTTAAGGAATGCAAGCCTAGTACAGATGACCTAGACCTAGTACAGTTCTAAGATAACTAGCAGACCTAGTACAGATGCTAAGAACAAAATTAATGCAAACCAAATGCGGGTAGTTGCAGAAACTGGCTCCACTTGGAAGCTCTCACTAGTTCAAACGTAACCACAAAAGATATTAATTTACGTATCTAATATGTAATAAAGTAGCTAAAGTTTAAAAACAATAATAACCTTGATATTAATATTCGGCTTGATGATTTGGAAGTCATCGTCGTCAGCCCAAGATTGCTTGGTCTCGTCAACGATTGCCATCGCTGATATCTTCATGTTGCAGTACTCCACCAACTTGGGTAGGTAGTCGTCGGCCCTCACTACGATACTGATCTGTTCCTCTGCAATAAAAAAAACGTTAATTGAGGATAGGCAAAAACTTAAATCATGGTACTTTTAATCTTGAAAAAGCAATTCTTACTTTTATTTGGCCCAACAAACATTTTTCCTTCGACTTTTTTTACAACTTCAGCTCTTACGCCGTTGTAGAACACACTGGTAGTGGACAAAGATGCCTTGATGTTCCGTCCCTGTTTAATACAAAGGCATAATATCAATGGGTGCATTGTTATAAAAAGGCTTCCATGTAAGCTAATAATCTTTTTCTACTATTCTATTTACAAACATACGGTTACAACATTAAACATTTTCGTCACAATAAATAATTGGAATATACAACGTTGTTTTTTTTTGCTTTCACGCATCTTTAAACCACATACTCTGCACTTTGCAAAATATGACACATCTCTAGACAATTTGCAAAATATGAACAAAAAATATTCAGTGGTTTAGAAACAGGACATTTTTTTTTATTTTCGTAATTTGCAACATCATGTGTAAATGCAGTCATAATACATTGACCTCAGGCCGCGATCAGCTGTAACATCACACGTTGCCGCTTTTACTACACTCAGTGATTAGTAGTAGGTAATAAGAATGTAAAGTTCAACGGCTCATCGCGGCGGCGGCGTCACTTTGATGTCGCCGGCATTGCGACGCTTTCGTCTACAGTTCAGCGACTTAATTTTTTTAAATTTTAACCTACGTCGGTTATAATAAAAAAAATTAGTACGAAAGTACAGAAATGCAAATTTAGAACAAAATAAATACAATCACTATTGTTAAAATGAGTCGCTGAACTGTTATTGAACCGTGTTTCATTTTTTGGACACTCGCTATATTGTAATAATTTGTTAATAGTTAAGCAATTATTGTCCGACCGAACATAAAAATATCTCGTAATGCAATAAGCTTTGAATTAATTGTTTCATCAATTTAAAAGAAAGCTTTTGGTCTATATACTTAAAATTAAATATTACTCTTTGCGAAGCTAGAAACTATGTTTAACTATTAATTATGTTTGAGGTTTCAGACTTCCACGCAACAGCCAGTTGCAATTATACATATATATATACAGGTACGGGACCCTGACCTCTCCGAGATATTTCTCACACTTCCCATTTCCTGTATAAGCAAAATCCTTTTCCTCCTAATTCTTCCTTTCTTAGTAAAAGTACTTAGTTGTCGAATCCCTTTTGGAATCAATTTATATTCGGCATGATGTGAGGTGTTGGTAGTACCTAATGTCTCTGCCTACACCTTCGGAGATGTATACGTGAGTTAATGTATTTATTTACCTCATTGCAACTGTTTTCAATGTCCACTACAACCCTGAAGTCTTTACCGATCTGTACTGTGTCTACGTCCCGTAACTTGAATTTAATATCGTTCTCTGCGTTGCTGAGCATCTGGTAATACCTGCATAAATGAAATCTTATATTAAAGGAAACTGTAGTGTTATTTTACTGAGGTTTTGTGTTGGTATTATGTACGACATGAAAACAATTAATAAACGAACAAAAAACGGAATGAATTTCAAATATTTCATTAAAAATTTCTGAATATAAGTTTTTCAACTACACCATATTTACCGAAAGCATTTGAGCGTCAGAATTTGGCTGCTTATATATGAAATTGAACCGACAAATGTATGTGTGCTTACATACGTAAGAATATATGAATAACATGTGTTACAATATACTAACGGTTTTAGGCATTTATTTATTCGATGATATCGTAATCTAATATTCGATCCAGAATGTCTAGCATTTCATTACGATAGCGATACGATGTAAACATGAAACAAATGTACTCACATGCATATTTATAATATTAGTCAGGATATTTATATGAAAAATTATAATAAAGAAACTCACCTCTTAGCCCTCTCGGAAAAACGAACACCATTCATTAGTGCCAGCCTCTCTGATGGAGTTCCCTCTTGGAACTTGTACTGGTCAGTGATGTTCTCCCTGTCTCCATCGCCATTGGGATCGAATACATACGGCTTCTTTGTAAGGACCATGCGCCCGATACTGTTGGGAACAAATAAATAAATTACAAGACGAAATAGGGTAGTTGTTTATCTTTAAAATAAATTATTTACCAGCCGTTTATTGTTAAAAGTCAATTTTTTAGTTAATAGTTTCATTCCTAGTTTCAAGATTTTTTTGAGTTATTCTCACTATCATGCACTAACAGTAAATAGTTTGACAATAGCAAAGACTCGTCAGTCTTTGCTATTGTCAAACTATTTAACTGAAAAGTGCAACTTGTGACGTCTTACAAGTTGCACTTTTCAGTTTGAAGTTTTTACTGAACGAACTGTTTTCTCGTTTAATACAGGTTCGGATAACCCATTATTTATCGTCTTGGAATAAAAAATGTTATTGCTCTAAGGAAGTTGCTTAATTTTATTATTAAAACCATATACTCGTATTTAGGTCCCCTGGGTACCCTATCCTGGGTACTAGAATCAGCTAGTAAAAGAGAGAGAAAACCTTCAAAGTCCAACATCATGCAGTCACTTTAAAATAAACTTACTGATATTGGTTGCTATCCACCATGGAGTATCCAGTCTCATCATCAGGATTGATCCTCCACCTCATCAGGTCAGCGTTAACAGATGCGAGCATGAATTCAACATCGTAATTAACACCTATGTTTCCTTGCTTGATGGCTTCAAGTGGAGCTGGACCGCATCGGAATATTCCCTGAGATGTTTCTTGAGGAGTAGCGTCAATAGCTTGCCATCCCCCATAGCCTGATGAAGAATAATGTTGTTAATTAATACCAATTTTGCCATATCTTTAAATAGACGAAAAAACAGACAAGTCTTAAGAAAACGTTCAGATTTAACGGTAGGTACATTTGATATCAGAGATTTTCTGTACAATGACCATTAAGTCAGATAGATTAAGAATAAATGTGAACCATTTTCGTCACTTAATTTTTAGATTTTTATCCAATCAAAGTCACTCACTGTGACTTCTTCGGTTATGGTTTACGATAGTGTCAAATTACAACGCTGCATATGCCACTCGTCTAATACCAGTGAAGACTATGAACGATAATAAATGTATATATCACCGGAAAATAACAAGAACCGCAAATGTATATATTTCCTAGGAAAATTATAAACCTTCATAGGATTCTAAACGAGGAATAAATTGTATTATTTTATGCCCACATTTTCTTCTTCAACTTACCGAACTCTAGTCAGGTGCTTTCTTCAGTCCCAGAGCCGCTCCCTTGGCGAGCTGGTCGGCTCGCTTATTACCCTCCAACCCGGTTAGGTTAAGTTTTCTTCTCTCGTTTAGAATCCTACGAAGGTTTATACATTTCCTAGGAAATTTATACTTTTGCGGTTCTTGTTATTTGCCGGTGACATATATAAGACGTAAATGAACTAATAAATTTCATAAGTGTAATTTTTACCTGCAGGCAAGTCAGGCCTGGCCATCCAGATATCATTCCACACGTGGTAGTTCCAGATGGAGTCAGCGTTAGTATTCTCATTATTCGGATCGAAGCCTAACTCTTCCATGGTCTCAGAGTAGTATTTGTCAACTGTCAAGGTGCTGTTCGCGTCGTGGGCAGACACTAGGTTAGACACGACTCTGGATGGGAGGCCCAAAGCACGGCATACTGAAAAGAAAATTTTAAATAAATTTGTATACGAATCCCATGCTATTGCCATACGAATGCTATGAAACTAATCATTTTATGTCTATCCTGTGGGTGTCGTAAGCACCAAAGCACTGCGAAGAGAAAGAAAACTAGAAACAAACCCTGTACCAACCCGTCTGGCCAGCGTGGTATAGTAGGCCAAAACTTCCTTTCTAAGGAGAGGCCTTTGTCCAGCAGTGGACTGTTGTAGGCTGTTGATGTGATGTGAATCATTTTATACTGTTCTTTACATCATATTTTATGGACGGATTCCTAAATAGTAGTGAAATTTATGTGTAATAAATACTTAAAATATTAATAGTGTGTCAACTCCTTTGATAGACGCCTAATACCTACAAGACCGTCTCGACTAAAAATAAGGTAAGATAAAGTTTATTTTCTCTTCCGCATAGATTTCTTAATACTAGCTTCTTACAGTAATTGCTCAAGACCATTGTGGGAGACTGGCATCTGCACTAGGGAACCCTGTCACACAGATGGCTAAAAAGTGCAAGTGTTGTCACAAAAACGATCACAATCGTAGGTAACTAGGTAAAAATAGAAGTTGTCTTATTTAAATATATTTCACTTATATGGCAGTATATCAGGTTAGTATTTATTACACATATGGTGTTGATGACATTTAAGTGGTCGTGGTTACGGCGGTATCAGTACATGCCTACTGGTTACCATCCCTAAAGAAATTTTGAAAAATTAATAATTTAGAAATCTAAGCATCACAACGATCATATATTTAGGTGCTTGTCGGACACATTTTTAATAAAAACATTTAAAAATGACGCACTATAATTTATTTTGAGGACCAGACTTATTCCGTGATCGTGTAGTTTAGTTTCTTTACTGTTTATTTAAAAAAATATGTGATTTTGGGTTGATGATAACTGTTGATGTTATAAAAAATTGTTACGTGGGTTATTTAGTATTAATAACAATGTTTTTTTAACCCTATTAATACTTATCTGATAATAATCTTATTCCCGCGTGTCAACTTCCATTTAAGCAGGATGTGGTTGGGAATGCAGTATGATGCGAATCAGAAACCGCAATGGCTTTATGGAAGATAATATAAATTCAGACTACTCCGTCATTGGTAAATAAACTGACATTTAGGATAAATTAACCACCTTATTTATTTATCAAACAAATACAAAATTCGATTGCAACAGACTTTTCTAATAGGACTACTAAACTGAGGCCCTCGAGTGGCTGAGCATATCCAGCCTATTGACCACGAACTATTGGCCAAAACCTCCTTTCTAAGGAAAGGCCTATGTCCAGCAGTGGACTAGTATAGGCTGTTGATGTGATGATGTGACCACGATTTAATATAAATAAAATTAAAACTAAAGTATAATTGTGTAGTTCGTGGGATGGGGTCTACCGTGGGGTCGATCCATCGCAGTGATCGTGAAAAGCTTTTCACACGTAATTAACATATGGCTGTTTGTATGGATCTAGATAAAATTTAGTAAAGACAGATTATAATGTGAAATTACACAAAGGCTATTTTTTATTCCAGAAAAATTTACTGCCAAAATAGTAATTGACGCATGAGAAACTGGTCTCACATAAATGAATACCAATTTATTTCGTTATTTCGACCGAAGGATATTTCGTTGAGTAGACTTTTAACAAAAATATGATTTATGTATAAACCAAGAATATCTTCATAATCGTGACATTTTTGATAGAAACAGCAACGGAATTTAAGACTCTTACCGGTAGTGACCACACCAGCGAACACCCAACATTGTCCATAGGCTACCGGCTCTTGTGTCTCCAGGAATTGTTCCAGGATATCCACAGAGCCAGTCCATTCTGAGGGGGCTGTGCCATCTTCGTATTCTCCGTCCCATCTGCCGACCAGCACACCGCCGTCGTCGTTCTCATTGACGATTTGGGAAATAACTCTTGCCATTTTTACTGGATCGCTACGGCTGGTAAAAATAAATAATATTTATTGATCATTTTGTAAAGATATATACATATACTTATACGTAACTATCCAAATTCTTTTTAGGTGGTTATGACGATGTCACGCGTATATATAGCTACATGTGTATTAAGATTGATCATATTTTCATTAAATACTTGAGAAATATTTAAACAATTGTTTAGCACAATATTGAAATCCAACATAGTATGCTAACGAAAACATTTAGAAGAAGATATCACCTAAGAGGATGCTGTACTGGGTTTAGTTAATGAACTGCACAGTTTAGACAGCAAAGTTATAGCCTTTTTACCCGACTGCACCAGAAGGAGGGTTTTCTATGTTTATCTAGTGTGTGTACCTATATATATTTCTTTAGCACGCTTTGAGGGCCAAGTGCGAATTTATCCCACTTCTATTCGTTCGTCACGGTGACTGCGATCGGCGCTACGATTGGCCCGCACTGAAATCTCCACCAATCACAACGCTAAACGCGCTTGCCGTCGAAAGCGAGTCGATGTGAAATAAACTTGCACTTGGCCTTCTGGAGTCTAGGGATGAACTAAAATCACAATCACATGTGGTAAATCATATGGTTACTAAATCATGTCATCACAGATGTGACTGTCTTACGAAACTACTGCTACTTAATTATTATTATTACGCTAGCACAAGGTCGTAGACTAATTTAGATCGATTTTAATGCCATTTATATTTGCCTATAATGAAATCACAAGGAAATCACATGTGAAATCGCTGCGACTAAAACCAATCATTTAAATAAATGAATATGATTTAATAGTATCAACAATTTCCATGTCTAGTCTAAACTACTTAAAAAGTTTAAAATTGGGAGGTTTTGTTAGATTCGTCTTAATTGTGATAGTGACACTGAGTTTATGATAATTATAAAAATTAAAATCGCCTGTTTGTAAACTTTAAGTACCTACGTAGTACTTTAAGTACCTTCAAGTAACTTTAAGTACATTGTCACGTAAGCGGGTATTTCTTTTCTTTTTTTAAATAGCTTATTGGTTTTGGACACATCTAAAGCTCTTGTATCAAAATTTTAAAAGGTTCAAACAGGAGCACTATGCTTGATGTGTTTAGTAAGTAAATGAAAACAGTCAGGCAAATCAAGTAGGTATTTAGTCCATAAAATACCTACAGTATTCTAGTTAACCACCTTTTTTATTCCGTGCGGAAATCCTCTCGGATACCACATACCGGTGGCCATGTCGGACTCGAACCGACTTAAAACCGCACGCCGTCTCGGGCACCAGTAGCCGGGGAACCAGGTGTACCCTAGAAAGTAAATCCCTGGTACTCTAGTCACTCTATTTACTCTAGTCAACCACCTAAGAAAAAGCAGTACCTTTCTTGTTAAATTTGTCAACAGTCAATGTCAGCAAAACGACGTAACTAGGTACGTTTCTTGGAAAATAAATCTTAATTTATGATTATTATACCCAAAGCATTTGATTATAAGTGAAGGAATAAATGCGACGGAAAGTCTATACAACGACTTTTAAAACTGAGTTACGGTCAAAATACGACATCAGAATACTTCCTTTGAATGAAAAAAGAAAGTGGGTTTATTTTTATATTGTTGACGTGACAACGTCTTATAAATTGGTTTGCCGGGTGACACTTCAAGAAACTGCGTTACGCTCCGCTCACGTTATGCGCTCACAATGAGAGCGAGTGAGAGGCACGCGTCCCTTCCACTCGGGCATGGTTAGCCCGCCTAAGAGCGAGAGAGACAGACATAAAAAGTGAAAGGCACGCGTCCCTTCCACTCGAGCACAGTTAGCCCGCCAAAATTATTTTACCACTCAAAGTTGTTGTCACGTAAAACTTTCGCCCGTATACCGACTTTACAGGCAACCAATTTTTTTTTATTTTAGAACGTAAATGTTAAATTTGTGTACATCGAGACACACACATGGCATTGACCGTCGTAATTTATGGTAGGTAACTAAACTTTATCTCTGATAAAATTGTATAGTACTCTATCAACATTGCTATATTATTATCTATTTTAATACATCGGTCAGTCGGCTCGTTGGTCTAGGGGTATGATTTTCGCTTAGGGTGCGAGAGGTCCCGGGTTCAAATCCCGGACGAGCCCAATATTTTTGAAGATTTAGATTTTATTTAAGATTTTTCTCTATTTCTTGTTATATCCCCACATATTTTTTTTGTTCGGATATGATACAGTTAAACAATTTGACTTTTAAATAACATTCTATATAGGATTAATTACACATCCATACTATACGTTTGTTTGTATGTTTCTTTGTTTATTACGCTTTCACGCTTAAACAACTAAACCAATTTTAAAAATTCTTTAAAATAACAGAAAGACGAATGTACGCAAATACTGTTCTAACTTTGCAAACCAGTGATACCACTACAGAGATTTTTCTTTCTTTTTTAGAGACAAAAGAAATAGGAAATATCCTGTGTCGTGGGGGACTTTACAACCATACATAAAATGGACACAACTAACACCCAAACTCAGCACAACAATTTGTGGATCATTCAAGAGTTGGCTCATGTGGGATTCGAACCTACAACACTCAGCACATTACGAAGCAGCGAGGTGGCCGCTGTAACCACTCCACCATGCAGTCAATTTGGTAAACATATTCCATCAAAGTCATTACTTTTATTAACAATTAAGATTATCACAAATAAACAAAGATTAAAAGAAAAATCATTTATCCTATCACGCACGTATACTCATAATGAATAACGAACTAAAATGACGTATAAAACTTCGCTGGGATATTGAAATATTGAAACAATGTTACTTTGCTTTCAAGTTCCTAAAACCTTATTAAAACACAGAAAATTACACCATTAAGCAATTCTTTTGTAAGCAAGACCCTAAGACACCTCCCCTCCCCTCTACTATTCTCCCTGACTTAGCAGTGAGGATCACAGGATCACGAACTGCAACACCCTCGGAGGCCAGTTATCAATTTTAATGTAGCCATGTATGTGTTACTTTAACTGTAGTACACTTTAAGCCCTTCTAAATCCTAAAACAATTATCAGAAAACACTAAAGTGGTATATGTGTGATTTGTATTTTAAATGTCGCATATATATTTGGTCACGTATTAAGATTAATCTCTGCAACAGACATTCAAGGATCACTTTAAACATAATTGCGACTGTTCCGACTTTGTATTCTACAAACGTAGGCTACCATCCATCTTAGTCGCCATCAAATTCAGCTTCAGCTACAGTGTGCAAAGTAACCTCGGTATTTAGTTTGATATTTTTTTTATGTGCTTGACATATTATTCTCACTGCATTCCAGTAAGATAATACGAGACGCCTTAATTTTTTGACACAAGTATCTTTTTACACGCTTTCATATTAGCTTCACTTGTATGTTTGTTTATAACCCGATTCCTTTGGGCGTGATTTTGACTGACTTAAGCGGTCAGAATTCGTTTAAACTTTGTAGATATATCGTGGACCGATGACAATACACAAATTAAAAAAAAATATATATTAAAAAAAATAGGGGTGCTTTTTACTATTGACAACAGGCACCCAACGCTTTTTTTCAAATTTATTAAAATTTATTTTCTATTTTTTAGTTTGGTTTTCTATAAAAAGCGTAATTTTTAGTTTTTTAAAACTATTATTTTTGTACTATTTTCGTTTAGTCTTAATTTTCTATATTCATGACCTTATCAGTAAGAGCTAAGCAGAAGTTGTCAGATTTCTGTCATTTTCTGCCCGCTTTATAGGTTTTTGGTTCTTTATGTTACAGTGACTGTGTGCTCCATAATTTTGCATGATATTTTTATTAATTTTATGAAATGAAGATATTGAATTGAAAAAATAAATAAAAGGCTATAATCACACTCGTGAATAAAACTGCAGGAATACAACGGGCTAAGCAAGTCTTTGCCTTAATATTATGATAGTTATTTATATGTAAGGTCTTATTTAAAGTTTCTCGTCGCGTACATTTTATGTCAAACTGATTTGTGTTTAATGTTCTTCTTTTGCCAAGTTTTAGACAGATTTATGACTAGTAGGGTTTTCTGTATTTTCAAGGCAATTTCTTTAGATTTTTATTTTTTATCCCTAAGGTGATCAATATTATTTCTCAGATGGTGAGTGAAACTCTGGACTTTGTACGACGGCAAAACAGGTGGTATAACGATCTATTGCTGATCCAGTAAGAATGTAATAAGTTCTAAATTTCCACGGATAGCAAGAGAGCGATATAAAAAATGTTACACATTAAAAATAAAATATACAACTCACTGGCTGTAAGGCATGTTGGCTCTGTCCAACATTAGCATGCAAGCTGGCAGGACATGTTGATCGAACTGGCCATACGCCCAGGGTTTCCCACGCGTAGTCTTCAGAGGTCCCACCCACACTTTGCCAACGTCATTCATCACATACTCCTGAAGGAGCTGAGTATCCTCCATGTAAGTCTGGTCATCTGAAAAGATTTGTGCATTTAGCATTGCGATTTTTTTATCATCTTAAGAGGAGAAAATAGGTGAATATTTTTTTGGAGTGAGATTTCATGACCTAGAAGAAATGATTTTATAAATATGAAATTTATTGCTTCATTAACGTATCACAATTACTCATATAATAGGAAAAACAAGGCCAAAATACACATAACTTTTTTTTGTACTATGAACTGTGTGTAAAAACTAAATTATTGTAATATAATGACTCGATTGACAACGTGTGTTACAGCGACAACTTAGGGTCGCATAGCGTCGCGATGCGAATTCGCAGCGCAGAAAACTGCGACGCGATTTGCTGCGATGCAAATTCTTGCGGCAAGGCGTCTCCCTTCCACGGTTCGGGTGCCCTCGACGTAACACCGCAAAAGTGCGCGATGCGAATCAATTCGCAAGTTTTTGCGATGCGTCATACAAGCTCGTAGATTTTTAAGATGCGAAGTCGCGCCGCAGTTTTGTGTTTGGTCAGAATTGAGTAAATGTTGCGATACTCCGCACAATTGTGATACATGTGCGATGACTACGTGACAATTTCTGTTGTTTTCATTCCTCAGTACACCAGACCGGTTACTGTAGAGGATAGTTTTTTGATATTTTTTTTTGATAAATATAAATTTTCTGCACCTCAAACAAGGACAACTGTTTTATTTTGAATACAAAAACGTATAAGCAGTTTCATAAACGTAAAAAGACCCTACCCTACCAACCCTAGTGCGGTAAAATTGTTGAAAAGAAAAGTCCACAGTCCGTAGTTTGTTTAGTTTGAAATTAGACGTCCGTATGTGAGAGGTTTTAAGTTATATTTATTATTTAAAATGATAATTAAATGGAAATGCTTACCAGGATTCCATGGATTGAAGAGGATGTACAGGTCCTGGTCAAAGTCGTACACAGCCCTCTGAGGAGAACTCTTAAGTCTGGTCACCACTCGGAGGACCCAGGATCCCACAGGTGCGGTTACTGGTGTTGAAAGCTACGACATTAAACATTTTCATCAATATTTTCTCTTCTTATTTAAGCTAATCTGTACTACAATAGATGAAAAATCACCTTATATAGGTAATTGCAGAGCCATAGATAGAACTTGGATTATAATTTATATTATAAAAAAATTATATTGGAAAATAGGTGCAATCAGTTCGCAGCATTGATTATATCGAATACTTAAGTCCATTACCTACAACATTTGGAAGGACTACTTCGAGATCTAACGTATTCTAAAATTTCAGTTATAATTCAAAATTGATAATCAGTTAAAGTAGTGACTTCAGAATGTTGAAATAGCCACAAATATAACTAAACCTGAGTCAATAGGTGTTTCAGAATATGGGCTGAATAACTTTTAAAGTAACACGACAAAACAGACGTTAAATTTTGAGAAACTATATTAAGAAAAAAAGGGATTATAATATGTATTAGTCATTTTCAACTCAACTCAACTCTTTTAAACTCAAGGTACCACGGTACGGTACCAAAATCACGTAATGTGGGTAATTGAGAAGGTAAAAGATCCATGAGTCATAGGACATTTCCAAACCACAGTTTCAATCACTGCGACATAATGGTTATTTAATGTTCTAAGTTTATTCATTAATCAGAAGAGTCTGAAAGAGAAGCTATGCTTTCATTAGCATAAAAATCTTACAAATGTACGGGTAGGTATTTTATTCCAAAATGTTTCTTAGTTTAGATACCTACACATTAATACCGACTTGTTTTCGTTTAATAGTTAAAATGCGATCTTCATTTATTGAATGCTAGCTTTTGCGTGTATTTCGCTTATGGCAGTAAAAAGTAGCTTACGTTACTCGTTGAAAATGTAGCTTTCCATTGGTGAAATTTATTTATTTTTTTATTTTTGGTAATTAATTTTTTACACTGTTGTAAAACATAACTTGTTAAAAGAAAAAGAAAAAAAAAAAAAAAACTTTTTGCATCACAAGGTAATTACTGCATGTAAGCCCACCATTATATTTGCTCCACTACAAACCAGTATTAGATCGGACAACTTAATTTTAAGAAGTACCTACATCGCATAAAAATCAGTTTGGAATTATCTACCTGTCAACGTTTACTTTTATCTTTTATAATTTGTATTTTATTTCTCCTTGTAAGTGATTTATGTAATCTTGAGAAATAAAGTGATATTTAAACCGTAAATACTTTTTAAATTCGATTAAGTGGTTTATGCGCGAAAGCGTAGCAAACAAAGAAACTATTTTTCACATTTATAATAATATAAGTATGGATTATACACTTCATGTATTATGTAAAGCAATAAAGCCATTAATAGTTCGAAACTTCGTCAATAAATATAAATACATACATAACATTTACACATCTATTTTAAATGTTATTGCACAGCAACGGCCAGAGGTCAATTCTATTATAAAAAAATAAAACAAAATAAAGTGTTACCTTAACTAAGTGTATACTATAACTTAAAATTATGTTACAGAATAAAACTATTTACATATTATTCAGATAAAATCATGCTCATCAAGAATAAACAGGTTAATAAATTGTAAAAAATTATCATATAAATATTAAATGTTTATATTAAACTTGAATGCTATGTGTACTTATGATACAGTCGGCGACAATATTTTCTTTGCCTAGGCGACAACGTAATTGTGTGAGCTTTTTGATGATGCGATCTCATTTTGCTTGACAAAAAAAAAGCAACAACTCACACAAAGAGTCATTTCTTTATTTTGACTAATAAAATGGGATGGGCATGAAAAAATCAACTCGCCTCATGGAGAGTTTCGATAGGGACATAGATCCTACACGCCTATCTAAGAGAAACCTATTCAGATTTATAGCATGTTTCCCTTAGATAGGCGTGTATCCCTATCGAGTTGATTTTCTCATGCCCATCCCACTTTATTACCCAAAATGATATATTCACTCTAATATTTAGTGCCAGGATTATAATTGACGGGGAAAATACATGCAATCAGTGCCGGCACTGATTACATTGAATGCTTTAATGGACTTACAAAAGTTAACGTAACTTTAGAATGTAAAAATAGGTACTAAACCGAAAGTATTGAAACCTGAGATAATAGGCCTTTTGAGAATGTGGACCAAATATCTTTTCAAATAAAGAGCCATTTCATTTAAAAAAAACTATGTTTTGTGTTTAACATTATTTCATAAGAAGAAAAAGCATAATAATATGTATTTCTTTTTTATGGTATACATCATTAACAGCCTTTAAAAGTCCACTGCTGGACATAGGCCTCTCCTTAGAAAGAAGCCTTTTTAGCCTGCTATACCACTGGCCAGACGAGTGGGTACAGGGTTTGGTTCAAGTTTTCCTTCTCATTGCAGTGCTGTTGTCCTGCGTAGTTTGTTGCCTTAGTCGGCTCTTATGACATCCACGGAATGAATAAGGGTGGTGACACTCCGTATTCTTAATCCGTCACCACAGGGATATAGATATTTCCCATCTGTTCATTTGCCCCCTAAATCATAAAAAAAGTAAAACTAATAATTATTTGACTAACGTTTCCTAACTTTCCTGCATTTTGTAGAAGTGATTTTGTATAAAGGATTGTTTTGCAAAAAGCGCGCGCGTTGGTCATATGTTACGCTGGTTTTTTTTAAACATAATTATGTGTATACATTTAATAGTGCGTGACTGTACAGGACTTGTAGTTATATCCTTGACCAACTCTAAGTGTTGACCCTAATTAATTGATTGTTGATTTAAAGTATTAATAGGTAGGTATTCATTTGCATGTCCCTTACTTATATATGAATAGTTTTACACTTAGTTGCTACCAGTTTTCCTTTAGAACACGATTACACTATTAAAATTAATAGTTTCTTATGGCTAATTTTTAAAATGAAATCTTAAAAACTAAGAGATAAAGTTCAACATAAATAAATTACCAACGACTTGAATGTGCCTAAACTATAACAAATTGTTGTAAGTTAGAAGTGAACATTTTTTTATTTTGTTTATTAAATGCACAACACACATTACAATCAACTAAAACATAAGTCATAAATACATCGGTTAGATCTGAATCGTAACGTAACTCATATGTGCACAAAGAAAAACAAAGAAGATTATACAAAAATTATCTCTGATTCATAATACTGTAAGTAATAGAACAATAAGTAACAAAGTAAGTAAGCAGCTAATGTGATGCAGATCCGAATGCTAATGCAAACCCAACTCACTGACGAACTCACGTATATGTAAAAAGATAGGTACTACTAGGTCTTAAATACATCCCTCTGTGCTATTCATAATGCGATTATTTTAGTATTCAAATCATAGATATTAATCACTCATAAAAATATTTAAGCAAATATTTGCCCTTTTTTGTAACACATTGGCGCCACCAGTCTTTAAGGATATCAAACGAAGCGTCAAATAATAACAATATTAATATTCGAATCTTGTTCTCTAATAATGTATAATTAAGACTAGACAATAATCTATTGTCTGTAATAGGAAGCAAGGATTTGAATACATAAGAGCTTAAAATTTGGGTCTAGACTTTGAAGTGACAATTGATGAATAAGTATGAAACGTGTCATAATGATTTTGGACACGTTCTTTGTGGCGCCGAAAATAATATTAGCTGTAATTGTTATACAAACTTCGTTTGAATATAGATTTATATTCAAATTAAGGTAATCGAATTTAAAATTAGTATTAAGTACTTTTGGTATTGTTGGTTCGATGTCAAGCCAAATACTTAACAAATCAATCGACTCACGCCTACCGGATATTCAATTACCTATCAGATTGACGATTTTAGTTTTAAATCAGGTTTATTAAGCACATTAGGATCATATAAAAATGCATTTACTGATTGCTTAAAATATCGTTTCAATAAAGACAGTAGATGTTTCTTTTTTTTTCTTCTCTCATACTCTCACTGGACGAGCGGTGTGGTGGTAATGTCGGACTCGAACCGACTTAAACCGCACGCCTTAAACCAGGTGTAAACTAGAAAGGAAATCCCTGGTACCCCAGTTAATTTTCCTGAATTAAATAAAATGAGATCCTTGCAATTATTAACTTATATTATAGTTGCAAATAATTATTTTATCGCTATTAAAATCTTCAGAACGACTTAAGAAAAAAAACAAGAGTTACCATTTTTTTCGTAATACCATTTACCAACGGTTTAAATTTGCTCCGTGGTTTAATTAAACACATTCTCGACGTGATGCCTAACGAGTGTGATATGCATTGAGTTTAACAAATAAGAGATCATGGTGAGATGTGTAAAGTTCTCCGTAATTTTCGCAGAAGCCAGGCAGTCATCTCTAGTTATTATGATGTTTGCACTATCAATACTTTAAATTATTTTTGAAGTAAAATTCCAAAGCAAGTTAGACATACTTAATGACTAGTAGGTATGTCTAATTTGCTTTGGTAATTCTGAACACTGACCTTGTCTGGTATATTATTCAACACATATATGTAGGCATATATATACCTACCTATCAAAATATAAATTACTAAGATATCTACCTATTAAAGCAGATTCAATAATTGCAGTGTTCGGTACTGATATTAAGTTAGATTTTGATTTGTTTCGGTAGATCGATTAAAATAACAATAATCTCATACGTTGTGACCAGCAACACAGCCATTTTGACCTGCTCAAACTTTATATTTGCTTATATTCCCTATTTAACCGCAAAAACGATATTCCTCACTTTCCATTAAACTTCTTTCCTACATTTTTACTCAATTTTATCGCAATACCCAGGATGTTCATCGATATGCTTGCTTAGATGAATGTGAGACCAAGTTATAGTTAACAAAGTGTTTCATACACTTCTACCTACCTCTTCGAGTACACAGACATATATATAGCAACACTATGCACAATTTACACACGTATATAAATTGTACAAATGTGCTAGTTTATGTACACACAGATAACGAGATACCTGGTCAGTAGTATAAAATGTATGTGATTTTAATGAGTTAACCAGAGAAATTAAAACCTATAACGAAGAATGATTTTGAAACCGTAATCTATACTTAATATTATAAAGCTGAAGAGTTTGTTTGTTTGACAGCGCTAATCTCAGGAACTACTGGTCCGATTTGAAAAAATCTTTCATTGTTAGATAGCCCATTTATCGAGGAAGGCTATAGGCTATATATGATCACCCTAAGACCAATAGGAGCGGAGCACCAATAAAGAATGTTGCAAAAACGGGGAAAATGTATTCCTTTTAAAAGACGCAGACGAAGTTGCGCGAGTTAGCTAGTAATAGTAAAAATTCACACACACGTTAACGTAGTACACTACGTTAACATGTGCGTTACTACGTTAACGTAGTACACAAAACTATATTGATCAATGCAGGCATATCTTAACTGTAAAACCATAATTATCATTGATACATAACCATATTGGGCTTACCTGGAACGAGACTGTGTTTCCTTGTACGTCGAGCATCTTGGCGCTCCATCTGTGTTTGTCAGGAACAGCATCACGGCGAATGTACATCGAACCTTGAGTATCCAGGTTTGGCTTGTCACCTGAGAAATATTCATATAGATTAAAGAAATATTGGATTAAAGTTTCATTGAAATATAATACTGCCAAAATAGATTAAGCTTTTTTTTACTTTCCTGTTGGTTTAGTGGTTAATGAAACTGACTGCTATAAAAGAGTTCATGGGTTTCATCTTAATTTTGCACCATTATGGGTGGTATTATACCTTAAAACTGCCACCGAAATAAACTGATATATCTAAATCAGATCACAAATGACAGAGGTCTGAAGTAACAAACACACATTTAAACATTCCATTGAAGTGATAACCTTCTCTTTTTGTTGAAGTCGATTAAATAAATTTTACCAATAATGAACACCAATTGGATGGTGTCCTCATTTTCATCGAAGTCCCTGTTGAACCTGACGACACCAGAGAAAGGCTGCCCTCTCCTCACGATAGTGACCGTTGGGTTTTCTTCATTTACAACTTCATATCTAAACAACAGTGAATATACATTAAAATGGCTATAAAATTAATGGTTGGTTGATGGTTCTTTTATGGCTGGCATTATTGTGTGTGTGTGTGTGAGTGTCCTGTTAGTCCAGTTGTTGTGATCCTGATTGCTAAGCCAGAGGACGTGGATTCGATTCCCACCCAGGACAAATAATTGTGTGATGAGCACGGTCATTTCTTCTGTACCTGGGTGTACTTTATCAATTATATGTATGTATTCAGTAATATATAAGTATGTTTATCAGCAGGCTGTTTACCATAGTACGGGCTCTGCCTAGTTTGGGATCAGACAGCCGTATTTGACATGTGTGAAAATATTATTTCCTAGCTTTTCTGGGGCCTGAGGCTTGGGCTCCGCTCTGTGTGGCTGTTATCGCAGTAAAATGTAGCCAATGTATTTCCTCAAGAATTAAAGTATATCCCTACCAAATTTCATCTAAATCAGTTCAGTGGTTTAAGTGTAAAGAGGTACCAGACAGACACACTTTCGCATCTATACTCTATACAAATAAATAAAATTGAAGTGTCTGTTTATATTTGCACGGTTATTTGCCTACCTATGCCTAAAAACCAGTTTTTTTGTCTGTCTGTTTGTTCCGGGTAATCTTTTGTAATTTTACTGCCATGTTGCTGTTTATATAAGGAGTAAATTTTTCCTCTTAGAAAAACCCTGTAAAAAGTTGCCCGGTCCGGGAATAGAACCCACTAAGGCAGCGATTTTCGAAGTCGCGGGTTAGTAATAAATAAATAAATAAATGCGCTAACTAAGTAATAAGAACCCCTCTTAATCGAAGGTGAAGGCCTCCTCTAGAGATTGCCAAGTGTCTCCTCCAGAGTTTAAAATGATTACGAACATATCTGAGCTATAAATAAAACAACTGTGAACATTGTAATGAAGAAATTAGTAAAGTCACTTACTTCTGTGTGTTGTGGGCCTGTGCATTGTCCCTCGGGTAGAAGTAAACGACATCTACTTGAAGTGGCTCCATCTCTTATTAAAATCTGTAACAAATAAGAACTCGGTAAAAATACAGGGCAAATAAAATCGTCATTTTTTGCTTTCCATACTCGAGAATATGTTAATAGTATTCGGTGTCAAGTGTCATCCTACCCAAGTGCAAGTGTTGCCTATTTATGGTAGAACACACTCGAGTAATTCATGAAATTTCTACTTTGAACGGCGTAAATCTCTAGTTATATTGTGCCTGCCTTTATAAACTTTAAAACTTACAACAGTCATGTTTTATCGTATTCCATAGATCAGATTTTCGATTAATTATTCGAAAATAATGAAAAAAACGAAAGCACCCATCGATAAACAATAAAATTATAAATCAGAAACTTAAAAAAACTTTTAAAACATTTAAAAGGTTTTTTAAGAAAAAAAGGGCTGATGATCTTCAAACAGAGCTTAACAGATTTTCTCGAATTATAATTAAGAATCATCAGAACCTTTTAAAATATCTGAAACCTATCGATCTAGTTAGGAGCTATGTTTGATGATACGGATAGACACATAGCTACTTTTTACCGTAGAAGAGCCATGCTTCTGCACGAATGGGCCGGCTCGACCGGAGTGATACCTAGGCCTCATAGAAAACCGGTGTTAAGCAATTCTTTCGTTGCCTTTCACTGAGTGAGTGAGGTTACTGGAGCCCAAATCCCGCTGACTCGAGCGGGTGGGACTCCAAGGGGAGCAACGCACCTGTGACTTTTGAGTTACAGGTGTCCATGGGCGGCGGTAGTTGCTTACCATCAGGTAACTCGTCCGCTCGTTTGCCCCCTTATACCATAAAATAAGCTACAAACATGTCACTCAAACCAATAACATTGCCCGACACAAAACGACCAGACATTTTTGCGTTGGCAGTAAAACAAATTAAGTACACGATTTTACTATGTTCCTTCGCAATATTCTTACTTTAAACTTAAGTTTATTACATTTAAATCATTTCAATAAAACTTATCTTAAATACAAAACAACACAAGAAAAGTTAGGTACCCTAAATGTAGTATAATTATCCTCCTAACTTTGTATACCTACAAAATTATTGTACAATGATGTCCCCGATTAAATACATTGTACACAAAATAAATAAGTACACAAATTGTATTTTCCTAAATTTAATTATCTGTGGTTGTTGTCTATATCCACGATTATGGTGACCTCTTATAAGCGGATATCTCTAACCGCAGATTGACATACTGAATATTTTTAGGTCATTGACCTATTGCGTATTTATAGATAATTAATAAGTGAATAAAATTGCAATGATATTTTAAAAATAATATTTTTTACTTATTATAATATAATGATTGATTACTTATTTATAAGTAAAAACAAACAATTCTTTGTACCAATTTACCAACGTCCGTGTTGTGACTAATTAAGTGTCGTATTAGGAATACGGTGTCACCACCCTTATCAACCTCCTGGGTGTCGGAAGAGCCGGCTAAGAAACCAAACTACGCAGAACAAGAGCACTGCAAAGAGAAGGAAAACTTGACACAAACTTTATAACAACCCTATAACATTGGCATTTGAAGAAAACTTAGCGAACAGAAGAATATGAAAATTTGGAATATGTAAAGTATATGTTTATAAGTATAAAAAATAAATTATAAATGCGAAAGTGTGCCTGTCCTTCTGTCTGTTACCTCTTCACACTTAATGAATGGAGATAGTTTGATCTTTGAGGAAGGACATAGGCTACTTTTTACCGCAAAAACCAAGATATACGCGACCGCAGCCGCGGGCAAAAGCTTGTATAGTTAAACCGCCGTGAGCTTGGCCCTCCTGATGGTTTGGGGGACGCGGGGCGGGGGTGCATTCAACCAATTAGCTGCTAGTGCGTCGCTGTCCGCCGGCAGTGACTGACGTGAAAACATGGCTGTACGTGTTATTTTTCTTAAGACTGCTACACACGGTATTATTTTGCAACATGGATAATCTGCCGACTCTGCGTCACAAAAAGATTTAAAAACTTGAAGTTCGGGTTACTTACTTAGAGGTTCTACTGTTAAAGTTCTAATAAAGAATATTTATTATTTTACTTAATTTTTAAATTGTATCTGAATCTAATCTACATGATGAAGATAAGGTGATTTTATTAAAATTATTTTACAGTATTAAACTTTACAATTAATCATAAAAACTTACAATACACTGACATTATAATACATGGAAATAAATTCGATTTTTATTACATCGTGTGTAGATTAAATCTCAAACAAATAAATCTGAAGATATCGAGTTAGTACATCGTGCCATGTATAGCCGAGCGCATCACCCGCCCCGCGTCCCGCAAACCATCGGGAGGGCCAAGCTTACGGCGGTTTAACTATAAACAATAAGTGCTGTAAATGGCTACACAAAGCTGTAGGGGTCCAGTTTATATTCTAATCAGTCATGGCACAAGTCTATACAATTACAGTTCGGCTTATACTGGGCAACGAAATAAAACAAGAAATTTAAAATGTACTTTAAAGTACGTTAATTTTACAATTTGTATACAATATGTTCGTATTCAAGAACAGTCAAGCCCATTTGATTAAATATTTGCTAAGTCAAAAGATGAAACGTCCGATTCTTATCGCAAATACAAACGAGTTTGATACCTATTAGGAATCTTGTTAAGTAAGAATTTACCTACAGATAAAATCCTTTAAGCATTCCACGCAGTTTTTCCTGCGTTTATCTTCACTGCTCTGCTTCTAAGAATATATCACATCAACAGTCTTTAATAGTCCACTGCCGGACATAGGCCTCGCCTTAGAAAGAAGGTTTTGGCCTACTATACCACGCTGGCCATACGGGTACGGCCATATAGGGTTTGTGTCAAGTTTTCCTTCTTTTTTAAGTGCTGGTGTCCTGCGTTGTTTTGCGCCCTTAGTCGGCCCTTACGACACCCACGGGATGAATTGTTTCATGAATTATTCTTAATCCGTCACGACACGGATAACGGATGTTATATAGCCTATATTATTCCTTAATCAGTTATCTATCGAACACATAAAGAACGATTTAAATCTAACTCGCAGTTCCAGAGATGAGCTCGTTTAAACAAACAAAAAATACCTTAGTTTTATTAATTTAATAAAGTTTTATGTAATCATAATATTTTCTTAACTGGTAGGCATTTCATCACCTTCATAAAAAATATTTTCTGTTTAGCGCAATGTAATTTCTTCTCTATTATTAGTCAGTTCACTGCTTGCCTACTCTCTTCCTAGCAATATCCTCTTTTAGGCATTTTATCCAGCTTTCCTTTCCGGTCATTCTCTGCTCTTATATCCGTCAACTTAAATACATAAAACTCTCTTCACCACATGTCCTCTGTTCTCCTCAACTTGCCTTCTACTTGCCCAATACACACAATCAAACGCAATCCACAATATTCGGTATTTTATTACTGCATATTTTTAAAATCAATACCATTTTAATAATTTTAGAGCCACTTTAAACTGTAAATAATCCTGTTCCACTTATACACATATATGTATATGTATTCTATAAGAGGGATTCCTAAACTATTTTGGCAAGAGACCCCTTTTCAAAAACGAATTGATACCTCAAACACCCATAGCCAATTTACTGCACGCTTATCGACTTGAGTTTTTTTAAAGTACAAAAATGGTACTTCCTACTAAAATATTATTCATTCTTATAACAAGTTGGTACACGTAACACAACTAATATAACATATTGAAAGTTTCAAATGAGAACTTGTGTTAATTAATAGGGGTCGATTTTTAGACCTCGTCGACTCCCAAAATCAGTTTTCGTTTATATCGACCACTTGGAAACCGATTTCGATCGCAAGGGGTCGATATTCGCAGAACGACCTCCGTCCTCCATAAGCGCAGGCCTGGGGGTGACAGGTAAGGCCATCTGTCACCCTAGCAGAAGCAGGCCGGGGTGGCGGCGAGCGCGTTGCGAAGTGCGCCCGCTTCCAGGGAGCACAGGGAACATGGGGTTCCCACACGGGGCGGGGGTCGTCTACTCGTCTGTAGATGACCCGAGGTATGTCGGGGCACCAGGGTCTTCCTTTCTAGGGTATACCTGGTTCCCCGGCTATTAGTACCCGGCGACGGCGTGCGGTTTTAGTCGGTTCGAGTCCGACATGCCACCGACAGGTGGTATCCGAGGGGATTTCCGCACGGAAAAAAAAAAAAAAAAAAAAAAAGGGGTCGATATTGACCACGATTGGGAATCCCTGCTCTATAACGATAGTCATAAAATGAATAAACTTTGGTTTAACAAAACAATAAATGTTTAATTATGAAAGTCTTAAACCAATACTATGTAATTTTGAAGGATTTTAATGCATTGGCAAAGCAATCTGTTTTAAATGTCGTTCAAATGTGCAAAACTGTGTTATTTACGATGCATTAAACTCAAACATTTGATTTATATACTACAACAAAGTCTTGATGTGTGAGCTTGGACGTTAGCTAACACGAATATATCAACAAGCATACAACAGCTAAAAATAGCTGCTAAAGTGTCGACAGTCGGTTAACTAAAACTTTAAATCAATCTAAATGGAAAGGAAAATCCGTTTGCGTACGTTACTGGAATAATTTTGTACTTCATTACTACGTTTAAATAAATAAATTAAGTAAGGTAACTTTTATTCTGTTTCAAAAGATGTTGTATGTACATAGTTTACCCGAACTGAAGATACCTATTAATAATTTAGAAAGTTATTAAAATTATTTTATTGGTTTCATTTACTAACATCTCATTAATTCATTTCAATCTAAATACAAGTAAGAAAGGTAATCTATAGTGCTATAGCTTTTTTAAATAACATACTCGTCAATGGATTTGCGTCAGGTTACAATCTTTAGAAAAATATTTAGCTATCAATGTCTGGCGCGTCTCAAAATAGAACTATTTCTATGAGCTATTCTGTGAACATCGTAAATAAAACGATAGCCGGACGCATTGGGACGTAAATACGATATATTTATAAGCTTAGAACAT